GTGGAGAGGGCAAGATGTGAAGCAGCAGGTAGAGGGCTCTTAGGACTGCCCCACCCCCAACTCTGCGAAGTGCTCACACAGGGCTCTGTCCTCCGTGGCCAGCGATGTGGGATCTTCTTCCTGCAGCCTTGCTGGCTCCTAGGACTGCAGCCTGCAGAGCTGGGCCTGACCTCTGCATCCCCCCCCACCATGGCACCGACCCTGGGCTGGGAGGGGGCGATCCGCTTGGCTGTCTTCATCAGCTGGGGATATGTGATGTAGAGCAGGGGGCAGGGAAGACTTGATAAATGTCTTCACATAATTAAAGGACTGTCAGACACGAAATGATAATTATAGGAACGATCATGGATTTGGCAACTACGGCTTACATCTGTAATCCCATTTGAGCCTGGCAGCCCTCCTGTGAGGTAGAGGTGATGTCATCTGCAGGAACAGAGGAGGAAGCTGAGGCTTGAGGTCCCGAGTGATTGGCCCGCAGCCATGCGGCTAGTGGTAGAGGGCGGGGAATGAAAATCCAGCCCTTGATTGTATTCCCCCCATGCCCTGGTCATTTGACCCGTGTTCTTGCCCTTTTGCCGGACTTGTTCTCTGTGGTGTCAGAGAACCAGCTGCAGGGTGGCAGCCGAGGAGGCAGAAATCAGCTGCACCTCAGGCAGGGATGGAGGCAAGGACAACTTCTGACACCCTGCCGTTGCCAGATACTTCTGTCCAACACTGCCGTCCCCATTTTACAGAGCAGGAAGCCGGCGCTCAGGGAGGATAAAGCAATGTCTTCTCCAAGGTCACCCATTTAGTAGGTGGCCAGTCACACCCAGCATTCCCGGACTCCCAAACACAGCCTGCCTCTATCCGGCTGCTGTCTCAGAGGGAAGCATTTTCAGCCCAGAGGAGGGCCCAGCAGCACCCACAGGGAGAGTGCCCATCTCCGGAGCTGTGGGAGCAGAAGCAGGGCAAGCTCCTATCCTGGAGGACGCAGAGGCGGTCTCTGCCCCGGAGGACAGGCAGGGAACAGGAGTCCAGCGAGACAGCTCTGCCTCCGCCAGTGAACCTGAGGTCATGGGGGCACCAAGGGCAGGGAGGCGGCTCGCGCTCAGGGGCCGTCCTGACGCAGATTTCAGTCTCCAGGGTCTTCGGGGGACCCAGGGGAGGTGCTCCAGGCCCCGGGGGGACCCCAGCAGCGTAAGCAGTGTCTGTGTGCGTTCTGGCCCAGGGCCGCGGTCTGGGGTGGGCAGGGGACCACAGCAGGCAGCACACGTCCTGTGCGGGGCTGGGCTTTGTGGCTGCAGCGCTCTGTGACCCCGTGAGCCCCAGCTGCTAATAGGCTCTCTCTCCACACACACATTCTCCTCTAAATGCAGAAGGCTGGGGGTGGGACAGAGACAAGAGGGGTGAGGAGAAGACATGACAGCCAACAGGAGACAGTGGGCAGGAGAAACTGGCATACGGTTGCCTGTGTGGGGTGGAGGGTCTCGTCTTCCTGGAGGATGGGGGCAAGAGTGGGAGGAGACGGGATGGGGCCGGGCCTCTGGGATTCTCCGCCACAGTCACCCCTGTAACAGGGATGGAGCCCCCTGCCCCACCCGCAGCCAGGGCCCGTCCCCTTCCCCAGCTGCTCTCAGCCCTTCTTCCTTGCGCCTTGACCGTCATCCTGCTCCCAGGCAGCTGCAAGACTGGAAGGAAGGGGCTGTGGTGTCACAATGGGAGCTCCTTCCCTTGGTTCCCTGGGGACCCCAGGCTTCGCCTGAGGATAAATCTGGGGTTGGGTGATGTCCTTGTCCACTGGTGGCCCTGAGACCTCCCTGCATCCCCACCACGTCCACACCTTCTGTTCCTCACACCATGTCTGAGCACCTCCTTGTGATCCGAGGGATGTGGGCCCAGGGTGCACAGAGATACCTCAGCCATCCCTGCCCTGAAGGAGTGCACAGCCCAGTGAACTGTCCCTCAGTGTGCACCTACGGTGTGCCGCTTGATGTATATCACCTCATTGAACATGAGCCCTCCACAGTAGGGGGTGTTACTCCCATTTTATAGGTGAGGAAACTGAGGCTCAGAGGGGTTAAGTAACTCACCCAAGTGGCAGAGCCAGGTCTGTCTCCCTCTTGAGCCTGGGCTCTTTCCACCTCCACAATTCAGAATGTGATTGACAGTCAAGTTGATGGGTACCAAGAGTCTGTGCAGAAGCAGTTAAGAGAGGGAGGTCCTGGGACTTCCCTGGTGGTCCAGTGGTTAAGACTTCTACTTCCCTGCCATACTTCCACTGCAGTGGGCATGGGTTCGTTCCCTGGTAGGGGAACTAAGATCCCACATGCCATGTGGCATGGCCAAAAAAAAAAGAAAAGGACGTCTTGGGAGCTGGAGGGATGGGAGAGCTTCCTGAAGGAGAAGAAGGCTTGGCCTAGGGTGTAGACTCCAGCAAGAGAGGATAAAGGACTCTCAGGAGGCCGAACTGGGTCTGGGATTAACATGCCTGGGTCCCAGAGGGCAAGGGCTGGTTTTGCGAGAGCTGTGCAGGGCTGGTTCCCAAGGGGGCAGCAGAGGATCGCCTCCTGCCGGGGCACCTGTGTTCAACGCCCCCCTCCACTTCTCCCCGACTTGGTCACCTTGTATACGTTGCTCAATCTCTGACTCACCTCCACTCATCCATATTGAGCCTCTGTGCAAATTAGCAAAGAGCGCCCCTTCCCCAGGGATCTCGACTGTTATCTGCTCGCCAACTGTCATGATGAATAAGGACATCGCTGGTGACCGTGATGTGAGCAGCACTCCTTGCTCAGCCATATGTGGTGGCCCTTCTCTGAGTCTTGGTGTCTTTGTTTGCTCTGAGTTGGGGATAAATACCCAGGCATTGTACAGACTGTGGGAGGTGATGGAGGGCCAGTGGCTCCCCCATCCCTGCCAGCACGGCCGTGGCCTCACAGCCTGCATCTCTGGAGCAGGGCCAGGCTGGCTTGTTGGGGGGCGGAGCTGGCTCAGGCCCCTCTCCTGTAACACGCCCTGACAAGGACCATTAGTGCCATTTGGAGCCTCTTTGTCAGTGGAGCTGCTCCCCAGGCCACTTCCTCCCCCAGTTCCTGGCCTTCCCTCCCCTTTCTTCCAGCCCCTGCCATTCAGTTTTTTCCTCTGATTGTTCTTAGAGTGACCTGCCCCCTCCATCCCTACTGTGGATGGGGCTTCTTTATCCCCATGTACAGGCTCCCTGTGGCCGTGGGACCTCTGGCTTTCAGCTCCCAGGACTTTCATCCCTGGGTGGCCCCCAGCCCCGGCTGATGCCTGGCTCCAATAATGGGGTCCCTAGTTCTTTGTTGCGGTTCCCAGGGGTAGGGAGGGGCGGCAGCCCCTCATTCTTGCCCTGTCCTCCCTGCCCCACTCTCAGGATCCAGCCAAGTGAGGACTGTGGCCCTTAGTTCACAGGACCCCTGTGTGCTGTGGGCCCTCCTGACACCTGCGGTCTTTCTGGCCACCTGTCAGAATTGCCCCTGGGTCCTGTATCACACATCACCATAGGACATTCCCCACCCTCCGGCACCTGTGGCGGGTTCTCTACCTGCCACTGTCCCTGCAGCTATTTCCCTGGTCCCATGGGACTCCATGCTGCTGGCCTGGGACAGGACCCATCATAGGCAGAGGCTTACCCCTCACCCGGGGCGCTTCTCAGAACCTTGTCCTCTGGCCAGAGGCCTTGCACCTGCTGAGGCAGAGTGATCTCTGTGGCTCCTCTGTGGAGGTAGGGTGGTAAGCCCCCGGTGAAGTCTCTCCTGGGTGGGCATACTCGTGCCAGAGTAGGAGAGAGGATCTTTGCTCACCTGCCATCTCACTATTGAATCTTCCCTAAGTTGCCACCTACCCTGGGAATATGAAGACCACCCAGATCTTCAAGGTGCTTACAGTGTAGCAGGGGGACCGACATATAGAAGGACAGTTCTAGAACTGCAGGGTCTGTGCCTTAACCGACACGGGTGCAACAGTTATGGAAGCTCTGAGGAGATGGGGTCCACCCTGCTGGGACGGGGCAGGCCTCAGGGAGCAGGAGGGTTGCCCTGTGGACCAGAGTGGGGCTGCTTTCTAGATGGAGCCATCGGGATTAGAACCGCAGCTCCAAGCTGGCTGTCCGGTGCAGGAAGGATCAAAGAAGGCCGGAAAGCTGTGGGGAGCCCGGCAAGGGGCCTGGGAAGTGGCTGGGTGAGAGATGCTGAGCTGCTCCAAGCCCTGCAGCCCTCCAGCCCCTCAAGGTGGAGGGTGGTCTTGGTTGTCTCCTGCACTGACTTCCCCTCAAGGTCTGTTGTTTGTACTGATGATCTCAGCAGTTTCCCAGAGAGCAGGATGTTCCAAGCTTGTTGTGCTTCTGAGATAAGGGGACGGATGAAAGCAGGGATGAGCCCAAGGGCCCAGCGGAAGTGCCTGCAGTCCTCTCGGGAAGCAGCAGAGGTGGCTGGCGGCAGCAGCCCCCCGCCCCCCGCCAGGAAAGAGAGGCCACCCCTGCTGGGGGTTGTAGAACACCGCATTGCTTCAACTGTAGAGGCTGGGGCACTGCTCTTTAATCCTCTTCTAACTTGCTGTGTGACTTGGGCAAGTCACTTCACCTCTCTGGGCCTCAGTGTAGCAGGGGGCAGAGGTGAGGAAGAACACCTACTTTGCAGGCGTGTGTGAGGAGGGAAGGAGGTGAGGAATGTGACCCTCAGACTGCGGATCACCCTCCCAGTGTGAAGGCCTAGGCAGATATGGCCTTTGCTCCTGGAGACTGGTGTACACTGGAAGGGCCTCAGGCTGCAGCACAAGGGGCCCAGCTCTGGCTCCCCACTGTTTTGTGACTTGGGGCTCAGTGATGTTGGATAGGTCACTTCCCTCTCTGAGCCTCAGGTCCCCACCCGTGTGAAGAGGGCAGTGATCCCTGCCTGGCAGCGGGGCTACAAAGGGGGAGGGGTGGGAGCATGCTGGGTGGATGTGGCCTGGGGCCATCCCTGCCCCACTTGACCCCTTTCCTCGTTTGGCCCCTCCAGTGGGAGCGCCTGTGGTTTCTGCTTCTCACCTTGACCTTCGGCCTCACGCTCACCTGGCTGTACTTCTGGTGGGAAGTCCACAACGACTACGATGAATTCAACTGGTGAGTGGGTATCAGGGGGCGGGGGCCCGGGGCCTGGTCATCCGGCGGCTGAGACGGGACGGGGCTTGGGTTTGAGTCTCTCTCCTGGGCTGGTCCTCAGGGCTCTGCCACCACTGGCCACCAAATCTCTGTATAGCCTTAGGGGACACAGTCCTCTGGAGAGAACAGAGGCTTAGCGAGGAGCTGAGACCTCCTCCCTCATGCTGCTGTCATGAAAATCGGAATGTAAGATGGGGGCAGGGCTCAGCTGGGGGCTGGGACCTCTGACCCCTTTGTAGACAAGGACTCCAAGGCCCAAAGAGACCAAGGCCTCAGCAGAGAAGGTGGCCCCAGACCCCAGGCCTCCTAACTCCCTGAGCAGGGCCTTGGGCAGGGCTGGTAGGTGGTTCTAGGAAAGATCAGGGTCCTTTGTGGACAGCAGCCTCGGGTCCAAGGGCAGAGCTGAGGCTGGTACCCGGGTGCACGAGGGCACCTGTTTCTTCCCCACCCCCACCCCCGCTCCCCCATTGTCTGCCTTTGTTAAACAGTGAAAGGCACAGAGGAGGGGACGTCCCCTCGGTTCTAGTGGGAACTCCCCCATTGACAGGTGTGGAAACTGAGGCCCAAGTTCACACAACCAGTTGGGGGCAGAGTTGGGGCTTGGCAGCCAGTGCTCCCTGTCCATCCAGTGCTGCCTTTTCCTTTTGGTTAGAAGTTCAGGGGCTTCCCTGGTGGCGCAGTGGTTGAGAGTCCGCCTGCCAATGCAGGGGACACGGGTTCGAGCCCTGGTCCGGGAAGATCCCACATGCCACGGAGCAACTAAGCCTGTGCGCCACCACTACTGAGCCTGCGCTCTCGAACCTGCGAGCCGTGACTACTGAGCCTGCGTCCCACAACTACTGAAGCCCGCACGCCTACAGCCCGTGCTCCGCAACAAGAGAAGCCACCACAGTGAGAAGCCCACGCACCACAATGAAGCAATAGCCCCCGCTCGCTACAACCAGAGAAAGCCCGCGTGCAGCAACGAAGACCCAACGCAGCCAAAAATAAATAAATAAATAAATTTAAAATAAATCAATCAAAAAGAAAGAAGTTCAGCTCAGTGTGACCATGGGCACATAAGTGTGAGTCCTCAGTAACTGACCTCATCAGGTCTTCTTGAGGATGAAATAAGATGATGGAAATGGGAGGGCTCCAAGCTCACCTAAACCTGAGGGCTGCTTCCTGGGAGGCTGAATCTCCAGCTGGTGGCCATTATGTTAGAATTTAGGATTTCTGGACTCTGGGTTTCTGAAGGGCTGTGGTTCTAGGATTTTGTGATGGTCCTAAGATGCGGTTCACGGAGCCTGAGCATCCACTCCCCTCTGCATGGCACTAGGCTGTGCTTCTGCTACTAATGAGCTCAATAAAGGACCGGCTGCCGTCCCGCTGCAGCCCAGCAAGATGAGCCGGAGCCCCAGCCGAGTCCCAGAGGTGACCCCTGGCCTTTATTAAATGCCATAAATCAATTACTCATCCTTCAGGTATCCAAAGCACAGGCACTGCTGTGGGCAAAAGGGAACATTCTCTGCTGGCCCTCGACTGTAGACCCTGGACACTTCTGCTGAACTGCAGGTGTGCTGCCCAGGTGATGGTCTACCCCCAACATGTACAGAAGGAGAAGCTAAGGCCCAGAGAGGGGTAGGACTCACCCAGGGCCACACAACCATTTGGTGCCAAATACACATACTGGGGACAGTCGAGGAGACTGAGGCTCAGAGAGGTTAAATAGCCTTTCCAACGTCACACAGCAAGATGCAGTCAGATCTGGGACAGGGACTTGAACCTTCCTGACTGTATCATGCTGTCCACGGAGATACCCCACTCTGCAGAGAGTGAGCTCCCTGTCACTGGGCAGCTCAAGCAGAGGACGGATGCCTGCCCTGTCGAAGAGGCTGCAGAGGGAAGGGCTGCCTGGGGCTTAGGGATGGCCTGAGGACCTGCAGCTCCCTCACCCTGTCACCTCAGTTTCTTGGAGTCGGTGCTGGGATTCAGGAGCCCCTGGCCTGGTCCTCAGGGTCTAGAGAGTCTCCGGGGATAGCTCATGAAGCAAGAGAAGGTGAGTGAGACCGAGGCGGTCAGGGCTAGACAGGGAAAGCCAGGAAGGGACCATCTGGGCTGTTGCCGTCCAGTGGGGGCTCCCTGCCAAAAGGGAGAGACAAGTGGAGCCAGAACACTTTGCAGGAGTAGTCGCCAGGGCCAGGGCCTGCCCTTCTTTGGGCCTCAGTTTCCCCAACAGATTTTCCACTGGGATCTGAGGGTGAGGGCCAGGGGAGGGCAGATGCCCCATAGTGTCCTCCTGGTGTCCCCTCCCAGCCCCCTGCCCAGGCCCAAGATGGCAGCAAGCCTGAAGCTGCCTGGCGCCGGCTCAGTTTCTCTGATGACGTGTGCCAGTTGCTGCCTTCTCTGAGCCTCAGTTTCCCCAATTGTACAGGGAGGATATGGGTGGTTCAGTCTTTCTGGAGAGCAACTAAGCAGCATCTATCAGGAACCTTAAAAAGTTCATTCCCTTTGGCCCTGTAATCCTATTTGTAGGAGTCTATCCTGAGGAAATAATTAATAATACAGAAAGGTATGTGCAAAAAAAAAAAACTGTTAATTTATGATAGTGAATAATTGGAAACTATTAATTGTCGTTAGTAGGAAGTTGGCTTCATATGGTACATTAATTCCATAGGAGACCACGTGACTATTAAAAAACTCACATTTCCTCAGGATTTTAGTGACTTCAGTAAATGCTTGTGTTAATTAGAAGCAGAGAATTGAGTACTTACCATGTTCCTCACCTCACTTCATCCTCAGGAAACACTATGAAGGGCACTTTGTTATCCCCATCCTGTAGGTGAGGAAACTAAGGCTCAGGGAAGTCAGGTATTACATTTTATCAATCCTAAGACCTCATCTTTTCACATGTTAACGTTGAAATTGAGATGAATGTCACAATCAATGGCATCTTAGATTCAGGGGAGCCTGTCACCTCCACAGAGTCCTGCAAGCCAGGGGATTTGAATCTGCGTGTGCCTCCCTCCAACGCCTGAACTCTGACTGCTGTGCTGTACGCAGCGGGGTCCCAGCTTTGCTGTTTACACAAATATATAAGCGGGGTTGGGGGGCGGGGCTTCCCTGGTGGCGCAGTGGTGAAGCATCCGCCTGCCAATGCAGGGGACACGCGTTCGAGCCCTGGTCCGGGAAGATCCCACATGCCGCGGAGCAACTAAGCCCGTGCGCCACAACCACTGAGCCTGCGCTCTAGAGCACGCGAGCCACAACTACTGAGCCTGCGTGACACAGCTACTGAAGCCCGTGTGTCTAGAGCCCGTGCTCCGCAACAAGAGAAGCCACCGCAATGAGAAGCTGTGCACCACAATGAAGAGTAGCCCCTGCTCGCCGCAACTAGAGAAAGCCTGCGTGCAGCAACGAAGACACAATGCAGCCATAAATAAATAAATAAATAAACAAACATTTATAAAATAGCAGCCTTCTTAAAAAAAATATATATATATATAAGCAGAGGGGGGAACCCGCTGGAGGGAGTCAGCAAAGTTTCAGTGATGGTTACTTCTGTGCCTGACCTATGACCAGGGAGACAATGACCTCCTCACTGAGTGGGCAGGCTCATGAGAGCTGAGAGCTGGCCGGCCCGAGGGAGCGTCCTGGCTCCCTGGTGGAGGTGTGACCCTTGCCCCTTCTCCTCCTGGCAGGTACCTCTACAACCGCACGGGCTACTGGAGCGACTGGTCCGTGCCCATCCTCATGACCACAGCAGCCGCCTTCACTTACGTCGCAGGCCTCCAGGTACGTGGGGCTGTCTCAGAGGGCAGGTGGCCCTGAGCCCAGGGGAAGGGAGACCTGGCCTGCGCTGGGCTGACGGAGGGGCCCGCCCTGGTCTGAGGAGGGCAGCTGGCTTTTCTCCTGGCTGCTGGGGCTTGGTTCCTTCAAGTGGGGAGGTCCTCTCGCTTTGCCCCCTCCTGGCATGTTCTCCCCCGCCCCCGTGGAGCATCCCGCTGGTAGGCCCCACTGCAGACTTCCTCTTCCAGGAACTCCCTCAGACTCAGGTTAGTCCCCAGGCTGGACTGGGGCATCCTGGGGGACAAGGCTGAAGTCTGCTTCAGAATCCCGGAGGCTGGAACTCCCAAAACATTAATTAGGCAGTCCAAGTGAAGCAGGGCCCAGTGACCTCTTGAGGGAAAAATCCTAGAGGAGAAGGAGCCTGGAGGCCTGGAATAATCTGGGAGGAGGCCAGGCTTGGGCTGGGTTGGGCAGGGCTGGGCATTCCCATCGCCTTCAGGGAGGTTTGCTGACTGGCTGAGCCGGGCCCAGAGAGCAGTGGGGAGCAGGGTGTCTGGGGAACGGGCAGAAACCTTCAGGTCACACCTGGTGCCTGACTCTAGCCCTGTGGGCCCCCTGTTCAGGTCCTGGCACTATGTCACATTGCCGTGGGGCAGCAGATGAACCTGCACTGGCTGCACAAGGTAAGGGCTGCCTCCTTGGGGGCCTAGGGAGGAGCGGGGAGGCTGGAGGCCGCAGCAGCAGAGGAAGAACCCGGACACATCTTCCCTCTCCTGCATCGTGATTATAATTGTTCTAGTAGCTAACACAGAACTCGCTGTGTGCCCAGCACTGTTCTCGCGGTCTAGACTGTATTAACTCATTTAACCCTCACAGCAGCCCTGTGACGTTAGGTACTGTTATGATCCCATTTTGCAGTTGGGAAAACTGAGGTACGAAGAGGTTAAGTAACTCACCCAAGGTCTCCCACTTAATAGGTGGAGGGTCCAGGATCTTAGCTCTGCAGCCGTGCACTCAACCAGCACAGGCCACAGCTCCGGCCCTCTGGCTGGCTCTGCCTTCGGTCTCACCCTCTCCTCCTCTTCAGTGAGCTCATTTTAAAACTCTGATCCAGTGATATTTCTCCCAATTTAAAGCCCTTCCCACCACTTCCATTGCTCCCAGGGTGATCCAAACTCCCCCACCCGGCATTAAGGCTCTGCGTGACTTGGCCCCAGCTGAGGTCTCCCAGCTGCTCTCATGGGACTGTCACCCTCAGCTTCTGCCACGTGACACATCTCAGGCCCTCCCGGCATGTCTGCCTCTTCTCTGCTTTACCCCTTCACTCCTCCCTTTCTCTCTCTTTTGGACCCTTCCTTGGTTCTCCTCCCCACCTACACAAGACTTCTCAGGCTCCCCCAGCACCCTCAGGCTCCCCTGCCACAGTCCTAACATCTCATTGTCCATTTCCATCTGGCTCCCTGACCCCAGCCCTGCCTGGTCTGGGAGCTCCGTGCAGGCCAGAACTGACTTTCCATCTCCATGTCCCTGGTGCCCCACGCAGGACTGGGCCCAAAGCAAAGAGGCTTCATACGTTCCAGAGCCTTGGCTCTCTTGCTTACTGTCGGTGGCACGCATGGCGCTGAATACATGTGGCTGATGCCTGCTCTTTCTGAGGGCCTAGCGGGCGCAGGGGTGGCACAGAGCTGACCAAGAGAGAGCCTCTCCCTCCCAGGAACACCTGGGCCTTGGAGGAAAGGACGGGCTACCTCTTTTCCTAGAGCCTGACTCAGAGTGAGCATACCATTTAGGAAGGGGCAAAAATGTCCAGAAATAACCACGAGCCCATGAGATGGGTCCAGAGTGACTCTGAGGGGAGGCGCTCACTTCCAGCTAGAAAGATACGAAGCAGGAACCGGAAGAAGGACGTGGTGAGCTCCAGTTGGGCTTTGTGGAGCGGGAGGTGCCTGTGGGCTTCCAGGGGGGCCTCTGAGATCTGGAACTGAGGAGTTAGATCCGGGGAACTGAAATCTTGGAGGGATGAAGAAGAGTGAGCCACGGGACTTCCCTGGTGGTGCAGTGGGTAAGAATCCGCCTGCCAATGCATGCGACACAGGTTCGATCCCTGGTCCGGGAAGATCCCACATGCCACGGAGCAACTAAGCCCGTGCACCACAACCACTGAGCTTGCGCTCTAGAGCCCGCGAGCCACAACTACTGAGCCCGCGAGCCACAACTACTGAAGCCCACGTGCCTAGAGCCCATGCACCGCAATGAAGAGTAGCCCCCACTCGCCAGAGAAAGCCCGCACACAGCAACAAAGACCCAACGCAGCCAAAAAAAAATGCAGTGAGCTGCCTCTGGTCCCCTCCCACCTTCCTCCTGCTTCTCACTCTTTCCTAAGATCTCCTCTGGGCTTCTGAAGTCCCCTCTGTGAGGGACTTTCTTCTCCCAGCTACAAAGCTGACACTTTGAAAGAACTGCACCCGCTGGCACCCCAGGTGGGGCCGGCGCACACCGCAGCCACCTCCTCCAGGGCACGCCTGGCTCTCAGCAGGCCAGGGCGCACCTGCTTGATCCCAGTGGAGAGGCGTCCGGAGGCCCGAGCTAGCCAGGGCAGCAGATCAGTGCACGGAGTCTTCTCCTGGGGGAAGGGGGCTCAGGTTGCTTCATCTGCACTGGTGCCAGCTCCCAGGGTGCCAGTCCTGTCTCCCTCTCCCCTCTGATCCCTCCCAAGAGATGTCAGCACGAGGAAGGACCTTCCTGGCGGAGATGGACCCACTGCACCTGGAGGGAAGGAGTTCCCTGGGGCTCAGTATTCAAACAGGGGCTGGAAATTCTACCCTTCTGTTTCCAAGATTCTATCATTTGATTCTAAGATTTTTATTATTTTTTTTGCAGTATGCGGGCCTCTCACTGTTGTGGCCTCTCCCGCCGCGGAGCACAGGCTCCAGACGCGCAGGCTCAGCGGCCATGGCTCACGGGCCCAGCCGCTCCGCGGCATGTGGGATCTTCCCAGACCAGGGCACGAACCTGCGTCCCCTGCATCGGCAGGCAGACTCCCAACCACTGCGCCACCAGGGAAGCCCGATTCTAAGATTTTAAGAAATTCTTATTCTTTTTGGTTTTGTTTTAACCGACTTTTGACCATTAATACATTGACATGGTTCAAAATTACAAAGGTACAAAGAAGTAAAAAATGTAAATCTCCCTATTATCTTTCCAGAAATATTTTAAGTACATACAAATGTGTGTGTATGTGTGTGTGTGTATATATATATATATGCACACATTTCCTTTTTCTTTAAACACAAGTAGTAGCCTATTATACCCTCTATTTTGCACCTTAAGAAAATAAAGTTGGGGTAGTATTTTTTTTTTATTGAAGTATAGTTGAGGTACAATACTATAGAAGTTACAGGTATACAATATAGTGATTCACAATTTTTTAAAATTTATTTTATTTTTATATTTATTTTTGGCTGCATTGGGTCTTCGTTGCTGTGTGCAGGCTTTCTCTAGTTGCCGGGAGCGGGGGCTACTCTTCGTTGCGGTGCGTGGGCTTCTCATGCAGTGTCTTCTCTTGTTGCGGAGCACGGGCTGTAGAGCGCAGGCTCAGTAGTTGTGGCGCATGCATGGGCTTAGTTGCCCCGCCGCATGTGGGATCTTCCCGGACCAGGGCTCGAACGCGTGTCCCCTGCATTGGCAGGCGGATTCTTCACCACCGCGCCACCAGGGAAGCCCCTGATTCACAATTTGTGAAGGTTATGCTCCATTTATAGTTACTATAAAATATTGGCTACATTCCCTGTGTTGTACAATGTATCATCATAGCTTATTTTATACATAACAGTTTTATGAATAACAGTTAATCCCCTACTCCCATCATGCCCCTCCCCGTTCTCTCTCCCCACAGAAAATTCTTGGAGCTCCCTCCCCTTCAGTACAATAGGAGCCTTCCCATCGGTGTCCATCCCTTGCTCCTGTCCCACCATCTAATCCCTAGTTCCCTAATCTAGCCAGTCCCCTGTTGCTGGGCCTGATCAACATCCCATTTAACTTTCAGTTCCCTGGCAGCACAGTGTGGCAGTGACCTGTGTGGGGAATTGCTGGGTAACGAGTGTGTACTTTTGTAATTCGGATAGTTCCTGCCAAACTGCCTCCTTGCCAGGTGCCACCAATTCATGCTCCCTCAGTAATGTATGATTGTGCCTATAAAATTACCCTTGCACATAAAGTGTTCAGGGATTTCCTGGCTTTGCCAGTCCCAATGGGTGAAAATGGTACCTCAGTGTAGTGTTTTCTTTTTTTTTTTTTTATAAATTTATTTTATGTATTTTTTATTTTTGGCTGCGTTGGGTCTTTGTTGCTGCGCACGGGCTTTCTCGAGTTGCGGCGAGTGAGGGCCACTCTTCGTTGCGGTGCGCAGGCCCCTCACTGCTGTGCCTTCTCTTGTTGCGGAGCACGGGCTCTAGGCGCGTGGGCTTTAGTAGTTGTGGCTTGCAGACTCTAGAGCGCAGGCTCAGTAGTTGTGGCTCGTGGGCTCCAGAGCGCAGGCTCAGTAGTTGTGGCCCACGGGCTTAGTTGCTCCGTGGCATGTGGGATCTTCCCGGACCAGGGCGCGAACCCGTGTCCCCTGCATTGGCAGGTGGATTCCCAACCACTGCACCACCAGGGAAGCCCTAGTGTTTTCTTTTCATTAATTTTTATTGGAGCATAGTTGATTTACAGTGTTGTGTTAGTTTCTGCCGTACAGCAGAGTGAATCAGTCATACATATACATATATCCACTCTTAGATTCTTTTCCCATATAGGTCATTACAGAGTACTGAGTAGAGTTCCCTGTACTGTACAGTATGTTATTAGTTATCTATTTCGTGTATGGTAGTGTGTATATGCCAATCCCAATCTCCCAATTTATCCCTCCCTACCTTCCCCCCTTGGTAACCATAAGTTTGTTTTCTACATCTGTGATGCTATTTTTGTTTTGTAAATAAGTTCATGTGTACCATTTTTTTAGATTCCACACATAAGCGGTATCATATGTCTGGCTTTCTCTTTCTGACTTACTTCACTCAGAGTAACAATCTCCAGGTCCATCCATGTCACTGCAAATGGCATTATTTCATTCTTTTTAATGGCTGAGTAATAGTCCATTGTATATATGTACCACATCTTCTTTATCCATTCATCCGTCAGTGGGCGTTTAGGTTGCTTCCATGTCTTGGCTATTGTAAATAGTGCTGCAATGAACGTTGGGGTGCATGTATCTTTTCAAATTATGGTTTTCTCTGGATATACACCCAGGAGTGGGATTGCTGGATCATATGGTGACTATTTTTAGTTTTTTAAGAGATGTCCATACTGTGTATTTTTTTTTTTTTTTTT